AAAGGCACCTCTGCCCGCTTGAACACTGGTGTAATAAATGGCATATTAATGTAAACGAATCCAAATGGAAACAAATTACCTTTACTCTCCGACGCTGTTCTCCAGTCCATTTTAATTCCACTCAGCTTCCTTTATCGGACACAGTACGGTATATTGGCTTTCTCTACCAATGACTTATGTGGAACCCACATACTAGACTTAAAAGACATGAACTTAACCGACAATTTGCCCAACAGTTAAGAGACAGTAGAGCAGGGAGCAATCCTGTCTCGGAATTCTCTCGCGTCGTTGAAAATGTTTATTTACTTATCTTTAAGTTTTTTTTTTTTTTTTTTACTTGACTTTTTATGTATATATATATAGTGTGAATATAGTTTCCCTTTAACTATTGTCTATAGATAAAACATTGTATTACCCAATAAATAAAACTACATTTTCGACTCTCGATGTGTGTGTTAGTGGGTCTATACCTAGATAATATTTTACGGAAAATTGTCCAGTTGAAAGTCATTTAAATTTTTAACAAAAAAAGAGAAAAATATCTTATGAATAGATTGCAAAAATATATCTATATAAAGAATATTTACCTACTAAATAGTTTTATTTCTAAACACAAATATAAATAAATTGAAAGAAATTTATTATAAATATTTAAAAATGTAAATTAATAAGAGACGGCAGGTTATACTGACGTATATCCTTCAGATCCATCGAACTAGAAACTGATGCTACCGCTGACCCTTCGATGGTTCAATCAATGAATCAAGGAACTCACTGAATTCCATTCATGAATTAAGAAACGGTCAGATAGATTTTATATGCCATCGGTCCGCTTAGTGCTGAGTATAGAAACGTACAAAATTTAAAAATATATTTGTTTCATAAACAAATTCACATAAAAGTATTGGAAGCCATATTTTCCGTTTCATTTTTTTTTTCTAATATAATCCGCAAAATTTTTTTATAATTTACTATTCCTATTTTTATTTTTCGATAAATAGAAACAGCCATATGTATATACATATACATATTCAACTTAATTCTATTAATTTTCAACCTAAATAATTAAATATTAATTAATTCTTGCACTAGATTATTAAATCTCTTGCAAAAATGTTCGGAAGCCGTAGCTATGTCAGGAAGGCCACTGTAGTGTCCGACGCCGCACTTCTCTACTTGCTATTTTTAAAAGAAACGTTTTTTTGTTGTTTTTTTTTGTAAAGTAGTTCTACGTTCACCACGCACCAAATTTCTCATAAAATACTAGAAAATACAACCACTACTATTCCTAGCAATAAAATATCTTGGTCTGAAAATTGTAAATGAAAAGTTATATAGAGACTATTGAGATAAAGGTAGAAAGAAAGAAAATATGAAGGACTAGTCTTGATAAAGAATATGACAGAAGAGAGGAGATATACGAAGAGGGAATATGTATAAACAAAGCTGAATCCACATTTTCATCCATTGGATGGGGCAATTGTTATTCCGTGCGGAACCGGGGGCAGCACACCTTCCGTCTGCAGTATCCTCTCCGGTCCTCCTACATCCAAACTGATTTCGTTCAAAATACATCTGGATTGTGTATATTTTTATTTAAATAATAAATATTTATAATATTTATCTACTAATATTTGTCTAATATCTATAATATCTACATTGTAAAGTAATATTTACCTCATGTACTAAAGTTTATGTTTATTCTTTTTGATTGAAATAATCATCACGAAATTTCGATAACTAGGGAGTGAATATAGATGAAATAAAGACCTTTTATGCTATATTTTTTTTTATTGAATTACTATGGGGAAGTGTGAGTAACCTCTCTCCACCTGACGGCGAACCAACCCCGCATATGACAAATGGAAAACGTGCATAAAAGACAAAGATAGTTAAAAAAAGAAAAGAATAGTTGATAACTTAAATCCTGGCTGGTTGAACTAAAATGGAAATAAACACTATCACAAATAAGACTTTTTTTTTACCAATTCAAAGTAAAAATTACTTTAAATTTATTAAAAATTGCAGTAACGGCAATAAGTGTCATGCCAGTAACGTTTGGAGTCGAACAAACAATACAATATAAATTAAATTTTTTAATAAAACCTAAAATTTCATAACCCCATAACAATATTGTAATAACCTAACTCCCACTCCATATGATAACTGCCTTGCGCATTTCACAGCCATTATATTGTTGACAAATATTTATATTAATTTAAATTATTAAATGGAATTCAATGAAATTGATACTAAGTAATTTCTATACTGTTCACCGAATTTCAAATAACAAAGTTCTTGATCTGAAAGCAGAAGTTTTTTTTTCAGTATCAGATGAAATTTGATAAAATTGATACCTATTTCATTTTACGTTGACCAATCCTTAAATTCCCTCCAAGTTTCAGCCAAATAGAACTTGCGGTTTTAGAATTATAGAAGTATCAAGAAAAACACGTTTGGGCATATATAAAAGAAAGCAATAAACAGAATTCAATCAAATTGACCATACATTATTTTTTCATAATTACCTTTTATCCAACTTTGAGCCAAATCGAACCAGCTGTTTCTGAAATATTGGCATATCTATGAAATTGCGTTAGAATTTAATAAAATTGATATGGAACCATCTAACACCAACCCGCACAATCCCTGAAAATTTCATGAAAATCGGATAACCGGTACTAGGTGATATGACCGTTACATCGATTTGACTACAGATAGACACACAGACTGACCCTGAACCAAATTTGATCCTTGATATCTGAAACGTAAAACGCGATTGGAAATTTGCGATTCAGAGCAGACATTTTTTTTTATCCTCACGCACGAATAGTGAGGAAGCAATAGTGTAAGATAGTGATAAAGTTTGAATGACGCAACTGATAGTAACAAGGAAATGTAACAGTGAAAGATAACGATTCAATCTGATTATCAATAATGTTGCTCTGTTTCACTAACTTCAGCTCTATCATATTTATACAATTCGTTTACATCAGGGAAAGAAATAAAATAATTTGCGTCAGGCCCACCGTCAGGAAAAGTTTAACGCGACAAAATTCTCAGGACCAGTCTTCTTGGGTTGGGGCTTTTATAAACTGCAAACATCTTTTTTGTAAAGTTCAGCTAATCCGTGAGATTGAAAAAAATTCAATCTAAAATAAATATGTTCAAAAAACTAAGTCTAAACTTTATGGATGCATGATCCGAATGAACCAGACAAGGCTTAGAAAGGAGACTTAAAAAGGAGAACAGTACTTTGGGACGGTAAAATTCAATATACAAGGAGCTACCGAACATTTCATTTAATTGAAGGACTTAAAGCTAGGAACAATTTTAAATTCTAGACAAACCTCAAGCCGTTGCTTTATGTATGAAAATTAAAATTAAAGTGCCGAATTGAATGTTTAATTGTTAACCGTTGCATTATAAAGGAAGGAGATGGTCCGGGGTGGCAGTTATAAATAGGCTAAATAGTCTAATATCTAAATAATCTAATAATGGCTAAATAGTCTAATATCTAAATAGCATAAATTTGAGTTCTAAGTGAAACTTCTAGCTGAACACACGTCCCTGAAGAAGACCTGCAATGTCGGGTCGAAACGTTGGCTTTCAATAAAATAATATAGTTTTACCACTGTTTGACCTATTTATGACCGCTACCACGGACCATCTCCTTCCTTTAAAGTGCCAAAATTTGTCGTGGCGTGTAACAGAAAAACTGAAGGCTGAAATGTTGATATAATGTAAAGAATATGTCTCAAATAATGTACTCGGTTGCGTTTTGAAAACTGGCGGCGCCAAACTCGTCAAATTAGTCCCGTCGGCGGATGTGGAACAAATTCAAATTAGTCAACAGCCTCAATCGGTCAGTTTCTCTTCAGGTTTTTGTAAGTTTCGCGTTCTGAATTTGAATTTGTAGTACTAAACAGAAATTTTCCCGGACGTATGATTAAGGTGACAAATTTCGAGCGAAATGTTTTGTATGCTTAACATTAACATATATAAAAATTGCATAATCGTGTTCTTGGAGATCTACAACGGATAGAAAACGGAATCTCGCCTTCCGCTTTCTACTGACGACTTTCGATTCAGTACGAAAATTATTTAAAAAAAAAAGATGTGTATGATGTTTTGAAGGAATTTTAAATCAGAAACTTAGAAATGATGTAACCATGTTGTAAATGTTGTTCAGAATGAATCAATTGATTATTTAAAAAAATCTATGTTTTGGTTTTAGAAGATACTTATTTCTCTCTATGTGATCTTTTCCTACGTCAAATATTCTCGAAACACGATTAGTTACACAAATCCTGTTTGGCAAAGAAGGCTTGGTAACTTTTGCTAGGAAATGCAAAACGGTTTTTAAACAGGTAGTAGTAGTAGTAAAAAATAGAGTCAAAAAACAAATTATGACGTGTTGATTAGAAATATTTGAGTGTATTGAATTGTTTACGCTGATTTACATTACTATAATTTATCAAAGAAGTCTTAGTCAAATCTTTTCTTTGCTCGATTTTCAGGAAACTAAATAACATATTTTATTTATTTATTTATTTTTTAATAGCCATATTTTAAGATATAACAACTCTTCAGAAATCGGTAGGAGAGTGGACACACCAGATTTGTTTTTCTTATTTCGCAGGAAAAAAATATTTGTTTTCAATTAAATTTATTGATTTATAATAACTTCAATACAGATCAAAGTCTATGAAATCAATGCAGATTAAAGTCAGAAAACAAAATATGAAAAAAAAAATATAATTCTATAAAATATATTTGTCTCGGATCCTAGGGGGCATTGGTCCTTAAAGAACCATGGTCACGGTTCTTATATTTTTCGATCTCCCAGCATCAGAAAAAGTTTCATTGAAATCGGTAACGCATCGTCCGCAAGCTCCCCTTGTAAAATCCAAATAATTAAAATTAGAGTTGAATGCTCGAGAAACCACACATCTTTTTTTTTTAATGTAAAAATTATAAGTGAAATAAAGACTTCAGAATTACATATCATGGTTTAATTATAGAACAGGGATACGTTGAATTACGTGAATGGTCTTCGAAACCCCATGATCTGATGACGCAGGCAACCGATTCCTGTTCTGTGCTAGACGAGCTGGAGGAAGTGCACTCGCCGCTGGAGACACGACACGTTCGGATTGGTCGCTGCTACGCCGAACAGTCGCTCCATCATGCGTACCGTCCAAATCTCTATACTCACCATCTCAGCGCTCCTCTTGTTTGTCGCCTTGATATTGTACCTCAGCTTCGGAGCTGGCCGGGACGAAACACAGCTAAGTGAGTATTTATATTGCAGTTTGTTAAATCTGACGATTGTGCAGTTAATCGCGAAATATAGGTATTAGGGAATATAAAAGTTTACAAGGCATTACTTTATATTACTACTTCGATTTGAAAACATACTTTTTTTCTCATAAAAATTGTACCCTTAAAAACTGTCACTAAATTATATATCGTTGGTTTATTGAAAAAAGTCAATAAGTGCGATTTTATAACCTCAAATAATTAAAACTTTTGATGAAATGTCCAATTGTGAAATTAGGAAATTGTGGACTTAGTTTAATTACACAGGGTTTCCTTTAAGTAGAAAGAAAAATTTTATAGGAGCGATAGTAGACCACAAGAGTTACAAAAAAAAAATTATATAAAAATTACCCAATTTCCAGTACAGAATTTAAGATTTGTTTTATTAAGCGAATCACGTTTTTCGTTGAATAGGAAGCGATAATTTATAAAAATATTTTATTTAAGTAATTGAGCATTGCTCTACAGTAAACTAGACAAAATTTGCTTTAAATGAATGTAGAGTTTATCTTTGTTTAAACCATTGAAGGTACAAACACAGCTAAGTTCCGTTTAAAAAAAATGTCATTAATTATTTGTGATTTTTTTTATCACTTTTAAACTGTACTACATTTACACTGATTTAGAAAAACTTCCTCGTTTAGTAATCTTTAAACCTAGAAGTAAAAAAATATGAATTAAGTTGAGGTTTATTACGAAAAAAAAATTGAGATTCACCCCAAGTTGTGTAAAGAAATGATGTGTCCACAATTGCCTAAAAACAACCTTTAAATAAAAATAAAACATTAAATAATAGTGGTTTTAAAAATATTTTTCATGTAAAGTGATTATGAAATTGTGTTTCTTCCCATATCTCTGTCGGAGGAATTGATGCGTATTTATAAGTGACAAACTTAATGTTTCTAGCCCTAATATTTACGTTTAAAATAATTTAAGCTATATGTAGGTTTCTTTATTTGAAATCTGAATTTAGTAAGAAACATTACGTTTTCCACTGATAAATACATTATGAGTTTCTATGCCAGAAATCCGGGAGAAATACACAATTTAAAAACCACCTTATGAGGAAAATATTTAAAAAATCATTATTATTAATGTCTTGAATAGGGTGTGGTGAATCTATTTGAGTGGTGAACAAATTGAGGTGAATCTAAAAAATTAAAAAAAAAAAAACCTCAGCTTAATTAATATGGCTTTAAAGCTTATTAAATGAGAAAGTCGTTCTAAAAGTGGGGTAACTGTGGTTCAGTTGAAGGATTATAAAATAAAAAAAAACTGCACATAATTTTTGACTTTTTTTTAAATGGAAGTTAGCTGTCATTGTCCGGTCAATAGTCCTATAGAAATGGTTTTAAAAATAACAAACTCTACTAAAAGTAAATTTTGTCTAGTTTACTATGGAGCATTGTTGTATTACTTGAATAAAATATTTTTTAAGTTATCATTTCCTAATAAACAAAGTCAACTCGCTTAAAAAAACACCAATAATAAATATTTCCCTCTATTTGCGCGGCACTCTGTTTGTGATACATAAAAGGATATGTGTCATTTTCATGTACTTATCGTCACTTTTGAAGAGATAAATTTATTCCCTTTACTATTTTCCTACTTTGTAGACTACTTATAGCAGTTGTAGAGTACAAAGTGTTCCCTTAATGCAAAGAGAATAAACATGTAAAATTATTTGTACATACAACATTTTGCACTTACAGTAGCGATAATGTAAAATAAAGTATGACACGGTCACTAAAAAATACAACACTGTTGCAACCTATAGTGCGTTATCATTTGTGTTATCTAATGACATATGATTGAAGTAGTGATTATTAATTTGTACTAGTGAAAATACTTGTAATTTAATTACAAATGAATAAAATCTCGTTAAAATATTGTTATACATGTTTCAATTTAAAGGTTTATTATTTAAGCTTCACTTAAGTTTTCACGTAAAGCCTTGAGGAAGTTTAACAATATCCAAGAGGTTGTTCCCACAATTATATCGGTAATTTAAATGAGTCATGCTCACTTGCCATCCGCTGGAGAATTTGTTGATTTTCCTTGTGTTCATTTTAAGGTTATTATTTCGTTACCACTGTTCGGCAGTCTAGGTATGACGTCATATCTATACTACTTCTTTCTGACCACTATTGGTAGCTTATAGGTTATAGATTATGTTATCATATCGGAGCATTGTTTTGATTATAACGTTCACCTTAATATGTTTTGTTTCCTTTTTTCTTTTTTTTTCATCAAGTCCAGCAAAATTAAATGAAATATTGTTTAAAGTTCATACAAAGCTATAATATATATTTTTTTTAAAGTTGAAGTAATAAGATTATTTATTTGTTTACTAAACCAAAATTATTTTACAGAGGAATTCAAATATACGTAAATCCGAATGACAATATATAATCCAAAAACATTTAAATTAAAGGAAATATTCGAATCTAGACATTGAAAAGTTTGTATTTTTTAATTAAAGTGTTGATTTAGTGATTACCTATCGATAAAACAGTAAAATATTGCCTAATGTTATTATGTAATAATGACTGTTACTTATTAATCTAAAAGTTAGTAATACATTTATAATCGGAGATAAATCCTCAGTTCCTAAAATAATCATTCATGAATTTATTATTAATATGATTAATTATATTATTAATACCATAAATTGTTATGCAAACATTTATATTCTAAATATTACAAAAACCAATCATTTTGTAGAAGGTGGGAATTAATATGTAGATAATCGTTAACAATTCATAGTTCAGACATAACCTAACCTAAAAAAATGGCATGTAATTATTAAATTCGGCCGCGACGTTGAGCAGTTTAAGCGAAATAGAAAAGGATTAGCAGTTGGCAGTATGAAATAGCGGAACGAAATAGTACCTTTAAACTTCTACAAGTTTCAATAATTAAACATGTCTTTAAAACATCATACATATTCAAACCTATGTATTCTGTAGCTAACTACAACAAACCAAAGTTATAAATTAAAATAAATTAGTTTAAAATAATAAATAAAAGAAATTAACGCATAGAGAATTAACAGATATGTTTGTTGACATTATTACTCGATTTTTCAAATTTATTGCTCTGATTTTTCAATTTCACAATAAAATATACTTATGAACTAAGACCTTAAAGTCAACTTCCAGTGAATATTCATTGATATTATTGAATCTATGTAAATTTAAAATGGCTTGAACGCAGTTCGAAGAGATTCAAAGTAAATACTTTAAGGAACTTAAGAGGACGTAATGCAACTGCATAAAGAGCTATTTGAAATCAAACACTTCTTACTGTCTTACATATTAAGATAACGAGATATGTACCGAGTTTTCTAATAAAGAAATAATTTTATATGACTTTGAACAATTTTAACACAAACATTTCTTTTTCAAATCGAATAACAAAAAAATACTTAATGCCCACAGATCTTAACGCAACATGCAAACATGAAAATCTTACTGGGATTTGTAAAAGTAAAGACGAGTGCGTAACCAATATAACAAGTGTCATATTGGAATCTTGCAATGAAGGTGATCCCTCACTCGTTTGCTGCCCGCTTGAGAAAGCGCCAATTCCAAATAGCCACAAACGAACTCCAGGAGAAAAAGCAAAAGAAAGTATGTATGTATAATGTAATATACGGTAGGATTTTTTTTGTTATAATTCAGAAGGTTAATCAACAATAAACCTATTTTTTAATTTTAGATATAGTATCAGCTTTTTTTTTTCTAAAGTTACTACAAATATATAATTTTTGTGATAACTATAGAAGAATCAAAGGCACTAGTTGTGTTTCGCTATTCGAAGATTATCCAGAACACGCTATTCCTAGATTTTTAAAAGTACCCGATTGTGTCAAAAACTAAACCGACTTCAGTCAATGTACTCTCCATCCCTTCTATTTATTTAAATTTCGGTTGAATCTGTTCATTCACGATTTCGTTCGGTTGCATGTTTCTATACTTGTCCTTCAATTTTCTATTACAGAAAGGAATAAATTATATTATGTATTTATCTATTAATGTATAGATAAAATATTCAGCCCGTTTCTTAAAGCTTTTTTTTTTTTTTTTTATTAATACAATCAGCCACTGTTGGAGGGATATAAGTATTAAGGCTAGAAGTTCTCATTCATACAGTATATACAAGTAATGCAGAAGTAACTATAAATATAAGAAGTAAATAAATAATACTTATAAAAAAAAAAGTAAATCAATAGGAAAAAATATAAATAAAAAAAATAAAATAAAATAAATAAACAAACAAAATAAAATAAAAACTTCTAAACACATTCATACCTATATACAATATATACATTCGCCCAGGAATCTCCGAGCGAGGCTTTTCTCCCCACATGTGGAAAGCAAAGCAGGACTCCAGAGATCCCAGTGCCACTTTTCCAGCCGCATCACTTGTATTAAAAGCCAGTGGAGGCTGAAGGAGGGCACTAGAGCCACAGATGCTCAGGACTAAAGCTTTCTAGACTTAATTTTCCAGACAATTAACAAAACTGCTGGTCACTGCAACTGATTTTTGTATTTATTATTATCACACAGTTCGAAAAACATCATGATTACACTAAGACCTTGGCGGTCGATGGCGCTAAATATATTTTCAACGAGAAAACGAATTTTCACTATCCTGTGAACAATAACTTATTCTATGAAAATACGGAATTTTGTTTTTGTTTATAAATTGCTTATTTCCGAACTTATTCTTATTTAATTCAACAAATTACTCAACAAATAATTATTTTCGGATTTCATCAAAAATTAATTTTAATTGACTTTGAACAATTGTAACACAATCTTTTCTAACGGAGTTTTTTCCAATCGATTAACAAAAAAATATTTAATGCCCACAGAACCTAACGCAACATGCAAGCATGGAAATCTTACTGGGATATGTAAAAGTAAAGACAAATGCGAAACCAATCTAACAAGTGTTATATTGGAATCTTGCAATGAAGGTGATCCCTCACTTGTTTGCTGCCCGCTTGAGGAAACGCCAATTCCGAACAGCCACAAACGTACTCCAGGAGAAAAAGCAAAAGAAAGTAGGTATAATATAATATAAAGTGGGATTTTTTGTTATAATTGAGAAGGTTAATAAACAATAAACGTACTATTTAATTTTAAATACAGTAATAGCTTATTTTTACTACTATATATAAAATATATATTTTGTATAACTATAGAAGAATCAAAGGCACTAGGTTGCCCGGTATCAAGATCATCCAGAACACGCTATTCCTAGATTTTCAAAAATCTCTGATCTTGTCAAAATCTAGACGGAGCCGAACAATTCCAAACTTTTGGTAGTTACAAAATTATGTCATTTTTAGAGAGAAATGAAAGATGATGAAATGAAATGACAAAATTTTTAGAGGACGGGATGACCGAGAACGTTGGGACGTGGGTCCCAGAATGCTCGGTTCTGAATGTTGTTGGTCCAATTCTCACCCAGGTTGCTTAATTTTCATTTCTTGGCGGATTCGGGAAAGAAATCTTGACATTCCCACTTTGATAAGTAAGCCGCGACAATCTCAGGGGTTGGCAAAAAAGACCACGATAGGGCCTGTTTGCTGGACTATTTTCCCCCACCAGGATGTTCAGGAGTCTAATCATAGAATATTCTCCTCACTGCTTCTTGTGATCTGCACCGAGCATTCCGAACTTCCTGCCGGGTGCTTAACCTTACTTGAATGTATGCCTTCCCCAACGCAATTACCGCATGTAGGTACGGTCTTATTTTTCTTTTCCCGGACAGTTTTTAGCTATATGTCTATTTGCCGCGCACTACTTGCATATTGCGTCATCCTCCAGTGTGTCCATTTACCTGACTTCGAAGACAGGAAGGAGCATCAGGATAATCTAAGATTGATATCAACCATCCTCCGGCAATTATCTCCTCCATTAACAGGTTCTACCTTGCCACTGAAGGTACCACTAGTGGTGTTTATATAGATGATTCTATTTCTATCCATTTATAACGACAATAGCTTTATGGCCTGCTTTCTTCTCAAGAATACAGGCCGATTTTGCACCCAACCTCTCCCACAGCACTGTTACTTTAACTCTTACTAACGCCTTTTACTTTCATTTTCGACTTTATTTTTTAGGTTAGTATTGCCTCCATTCCAACTTCTTTTAGATTTTATAGCTCTTGATCACCAGGTTTTTGTATGGGGAAAAATAATCAAATTTTTATAAGTTTGCTTGAAAAATCCCACCTTGGATAAAACAAAAGTTTCTAATTTACCTTAAACATTTTACAGTGTGTATGATTTATGGAAAGACAGCTAATTATAGACGTGCTCCGTTATTTCCCCATATTATTGGTCCAAGTTCCGGAGAAGATTTCATCTGTGATCAAGTGAAAAGAGAACCATTAAGAATAGGAGGAGATACTGCCAAAGAGAAAGAGTTTCCTCATATGGTAAGCACTACATTACTCGTACATTAAAAAATTTGACCTCATAGTGAGGTTGCTTGGTTCCAAGGTTATAATAACATGTCAGATATTTTTTTTACACTAATTATTAATTATATTCTAAAAGTTTTTGATTAGATTTTATTATAAATCTCTTTCTGAAATCTCCATAAAAGCGATTTGTTAAACAAAAAATTAAAAGTAAGAAATAAATTATAATAGAATAATTTTAGTTGGAATTAACATTTCGAGTTTTAGTGAAAAAGGCCATTTTATAATTTTTTCTAAAAATCGAAGTATAATTTAGAGCACACGAACTTCGTATTATTGTTGTTATAGTAAAGAAGGCTCTATTGCTAGATATAAAAACCAATTTTTGTTTGAAAAAAGTATATAAATAAACTAGACAAAATTAAACATATTTGGATCATCATCATCACAGGCACTACAACCCGGTACAGGTCTTCGCCGCATCAATGCGTCGCCTCCATTCCTCTTTGTCTTGTGCAAGGGTCTGCCAAGCTCTAATGTCCAGAAGCTTTTCTGCATCGCCTTCGACCTCATCTGCCCATCTCAGTCGTGGTTGTCCTCTCTTTCTTCTGCTCTCCACATACCCGAACGGTAGCCGCTTGATTGGTGAGTCCACATCCATCCCTGCAACGTGTCCAGCCCATCTTAGCCTAGAGAGCCGCATAAATTGCACCACATCCGGTTCCCGGTAAATTTGGTACAACTTTGCATTATGCCTTAGCCTATACTGATTTTCAACTTTTACAGGACCAAACATTCTTCTCAGGATTTTTCTTTCGAAGATCTTCAACCTGATGTGTGTTCGTGATAATGGCCATGTCTCTGAACCATATGTCAGAACAGGTCTAATAAGAGATTTGTACAGAGCGATCTTAGTGGATCTATCTATCAGATGACTTCTTAAAATTTTAGCTAGGCCAAAATAGCACCTATTAGCTGATGTTATTCTTCTTTGCACTTCTTAAATAGGCACATTATTTCCACAAACTAACGATCCTATCACGGGCGGATTTACGGGGGGGGGGGAGAGGGGCTTTCATGCTGAAGCCCTCCCCAAAAAATGGTAAAATATAACCATGTTTTATGGAAAAAAATATTAAAAAATTACCTCTAAAAATATTATTGTTCGGGTAATTACATTTAAAAGGACTTAAGGAATCACTTAAACACCATTCCATATAGATAGTTAATTTCTTTCTTTTTTTTCCAAAGTAATTATCGTAATTTTTATGAAAAACAAAAGCTTTCGGGCTGAAGCCCTCCCCCTCAAAAATTAAATCCTGGATCCACTAGTGGATCCTAGTACACGAAAATATTTACGTTTTCAAATGTGTGTCCTCCAAATATAACTGTGGGTGGTGGTGGCCTTGGTGAGTCAGCAATCATATATTTGGTCTTAGCTTGGTTAATACTTAGACCCATTACCTCTCCCGCTGCCTCAATAGCTAAGAAGGTCCTTTCTAAGTCATGTGTTGGATGGAATCATATATTTCCTCGTCATCTGGTGGGTCGGTTAGCTCGAAGCCATTGCACAGAACAGCAATTACACTATACACAATGGGGTCCTCGGGGGTTCCCAAAATACTTCCAAAGTGGGTGACCCATCTGCTAAGAATGGTGTCTTTGCTTGTAATAAGTGATCCGACCTCTCTTCGGGAAGCATTGGATCTTGGCTTGAATTCTTTACGCTGGGCATTCACATTCTTGTAGAAGGCTCTAACGTCAGCTTGACTCCTTTATTCTTATATTTCCTTTAGTTTTTCTTGTTCTTGTTTAATCCTTTTCTTATATGAATGCATTTCTCTTCTCGCCTTCTTTCTTTATATTTCTTAACTGCTTGGCGAGTTCGGTGCCTCTCTATCATTCTCCTGTATGCTTCGATTTTCCTGTCTGTCGCTGCCTGGCATTCCGGGTCTAACCATTCAGATATTTGGTGGGCTTCCTTCGTACCCAAAACCTCTTCTGCAGTTTGCTTGATGACAAATTTGCAGTGGTTCCATCTTCCGTTCAAAGTATCTTCATAAGGGCCCCCTACTAAAGCTTTATCAAGTCTTTGGGTGAATTCCTCCTTACACTCTGGTGAATTCCTCCTTTCCATCCAGACCCCTTTCGTTTTATGAGTATTACTTATTTGGATAAAAACCTTATTTTCAAGCCACTTATGGAACTTCAAGTTCATTATCCAATGGCGCTATGGCCCTTGTAGAACCTTGGCCTCCTCTACTATCTTCCTCCAAATCGACCTGGCTTTAACTGGCCTACACCCAGGCTCCTCAGATCGTTTTAAACGTCTTCCAGCCAACGAAGCCTGCATCTTTTCCTTCCTCCACCCGAATGTCACTCCATCATCATTTTAGGCACTCAATCCATGTTCTTTGGACATAACCTAACCATCTTATTATTCCCATTTTTATGGATATAATGTCTGGGGCATTATATAGCTTCTTCAGCTCGTCATTTTTCTTCATATAAAGACTTCCTTCTTTGGTTCGGCCATAAATTCTACGAATGATTTCTCTTTCCCACCTGTTCATTTACCTCTCTTCGTTGAGTGTGAGTAAGCAGCACTCGCTTCCAAATATATCAACTGGTTGCAGGACCGTCTTATATACTCTTATTTTGAGAGCTCTTGGTATATCACGATTTCGAAAGATTTTTGTTAAACACTTATTACCACCTGTGATCCTTGCATTTATATCTTCTCTTATGTTCTTATTCTCAGTGATAACAGTGACTAGATTACTAATTTATGGTAGGGGCGTGGTGGCCGAATGGGCTAAAGCGTGTGCACAGCACCGCGAGTTGCCTGGCAACCGGATTACTGATTTGAGAAGATTTAAAAAGTACGAGTTCGCGTCTCGGTGCCGGAGAGGATTTTAAATTTCCACCCCTCATTCCTGTATAGCCTAAAAAGGCGAGGTAGGGAAGAAAAAAAAATATAAATAAATCGTGCTACTCTTTCGAAACGATGTACAGCTCCCTCGATATATCTAGTGACTTTATCTCCTTCGTCGTTAACACATATTTAGTTTTATCTTCATTTATGACCAGTCCTGTTCTTTTTGCAGCTTCTTCACACTCCTCGAATGCCCCTAAGAGTGCATTGGATGTGTGCATTATGGAACATCAAGATATATATACAAAATAATGAAATTTCGCACCTTTTTTTCTCGACATAAAAAGGCTTTTTAAAATTTGTGTGCCGAAAAGTAGTTTTTTTTTCTGTTCTACTCTGCTGAGCTGTAGTGAAATAAAAAGAAGCATATTCGTAGGCACTGCTCGGCAGTCTAGATACCACATCGTATCTATACAATTCCTTTCTGACCGCTCCTGAAACTGTGTTGGCAGCACGGCGATTCTATGTTATGCCATCATATCGAAGAGAAGCTTTAATGACAACAATCTACTTTCTACTTTCTTGTTTGTTTGTTTTTTTCATTAAACAAACAAATATTTAAAATGTAAAAAAAATATAGAAAATCATTTTTTTGGGGCTTAAAATTACAATAGTATTTTATATGGGGATTCAAATATATCTAAATCTAACTAACATTAAATCATAAGGGAAAAAATCTCAAATAAATACTCAGATCAGAACATCGAAAAATCAATTTTTCTGTTTTAATTAATTCGTTATTTATTCAATTTTAAATGATTTAAGTGACCATATCTTTCTGTATATATTCATAGGACTATGTCACTTACTGTGTGTACGTTCTAATTTTCTGGTTTTAAAACTTTGGCATTCGAATACCATTTTTTTTTCCCCCTATAAATTTAAGAAATTGTCTTATATCGGTTTTACCGAAATATGTACATATTGTATGATTGTAAATGTGTGTATTAGTATATTATATTATTGATATTGTTTATGCAATATAAAAAAGAGTTTGTATATACATAAACATATGATTAACTATAATTAAGTGCTATGTCAAAAAAAAAAGGATTGATGAGTATGCTGTTTATCGAGCAACCCAGTATAGTAAGGCAGCACTGCTTTAAATAAAGTATTTCTCTCTGTCTGATTTACGAATAACCTAATGATAGAACATTATCCACTTTTACATTACCAATATAGCGTGGGTTTATCGCAAAAGTAACTACATACATTTTTAATGTAGCTAAAGTTTTGTCGACATATATACTAACAATTAGAAGAAACACAAGCCTCTATCTACTCAAAATGAGTAAATCGTAACTTTATTATAATTTTACTGGTAGTAACATATAGAAAGTAGAATATGAAGTATCCAATAATGTTCTCCTTTTGATGTCCTGTTTGTTAAAGTGAAGTGCCATACATTAATAAATAAATAAATAAAATTATTTTTAGAGTGATACATTTGCCTTTTGGTCTGACCAATAGACAAATATATCACTCTAAAAAGAACAAAGGTCAAACCTGCATAGTGAAAAATTAAATTATTGTATTTTTTTAGGCTCTGATCTTTAATTATGATGCAGAATTGGGTAAAATATCTTGGTCTTGTGGTGGCAGTATAGTGAGTCCAGAGTTCATTCTTGGTGCAGCCCACTGCCCTGTATCAAAGTAAGTTCTTGACGATTTATTATTCTGGAGATAATTTATCATCGGTTTGAATTAAATATTGTATTATAGTAGAGTGTATATAAAAAATGACCGTTATATCCTATTCAAGGTTTCAAAAGACTGTAAATATCTTAATACTATTTAATACTTAATAATCCCTTTAGAGCATTATCTAAGCTTATTTAATCCCATTCGACTTTTTCAAAAAAACCTCAGTTTAGTTATTTGTTTTAAAGAAGAAACACGACAGTGTCCTACAAAATTCTCGTAATTTTAAGGCATTACTGGAAAAAAAATGTCACAGCCCGTGAAGCAGCTCGTGGAATTATTAAATATGATAGGGAAGATGTCCTTGACCAGCGCACTGCACAGCGTTGCTTTGAAAAAAAATAGCAGTGGAGATATGACGTTGGAAAGGAAGAAGGGCTTCCATCAATGGATATTGCTGAGGTTCTACACGAAGCTCTTGTGTCAAATCCATCCAGTGTTTGCGAACTTCCCAGAGAGTTTATCGAAAAATTATGTTAGTCGTGATCTACTCTCTATGTGGAAGGTGGAAAGGAGCAGTAGACTGGTCACTCACGAACTTACTCCTCAGCAATCAGCTAAGAGGTTGGAAATTTGTTAAAATTTATTGAAAAACCCTTCTGATATGAGACTCCTGCCTCATCCACCATCGGTCTAGCACTATCGGATTACTACTTATTTAGATCCATGGCCCATTTTCTGCAAGAGAAGTTGAAATTGCGGTACAAGAGTATTTTGACAGCCACCCCAAAGAATGATATCAGCTTGGAATCGAGCAATTGGCTAACATATGGCTAATGACGCTTGATAATGGACTACTTTGAGTATTAGTTATATCAAAGAAATAATAATACAAATGTTTGGTTGAAAAACGGTCATTGTATATATCATTGTATGCTTGTATATACACTGTTATTAAGATAATAATCAATGTAGGGTGTAGCACTGCAGATAGAGTATGTGGACTTCACTTGCTTTGTGAAACCCTATTCGAATCTGCAAATCTTGTGTGAAGATTTATTTATGTTTAATATTTGATAATAATTAAATTATTTCTTTAGGCATTTCAGTTATGCTATGGTTGGAACAAATGCTTTTAAGGACACAGTGGAATTATTGGAGAATAATACAGTGGAAATAAGTGATGTCTTTATTCATCCTGATTTTAATAATAACCATGATAATGATATAGCACTATTTAAATTATCAACTAAGCTCAAAGCAAGTGAAATACCGATATGCCTTGATACTGGAAGTTCTATTTCTAATAATATGATGGTGATAGCTACTGGTTTTGGAATTAATGAAAGTAATACATAGAAGTTTATTTTTGTTTAGTAAACAAATATTTTTTTTCATTTTAGATAAAATTTGTTCATGGAAATTTAATGCGCCATTCAGTTCATCAAATATAAACACATCCAAATAACAGGCTCTCCTTACCTCTGAAGTTTTGTTAATTTATCATTTTTCATTTTTAAATTATCCTTTCCTCCAGAACCGAAATTAGAATATTTTTGAGGAGGGGCAACCAATTGTATTAATATATTAAATGCTTATTTTTTTCTTTTATTGTCCATTTATTATCAATTATAGCATCTAAAACACCAATTCATTGATTTTTGAAATTCTGAATGGAAAATTTGTCTCATAGTGAATTAATACCATTATATATATATATATATATATATATAATCTTAATATTGGAGTTTTTATGAAAATCATATTTTTTAAATAAATTTCAGGACAAATATCAAAGGGTATTCTTCAAAAAGTTATTTTGAATATTGTTGATGCAGAATTGTGCGCTGCAGAATATGAACGATTACTGCAACATCAAATGCATCTTGAACATACTGTATGTGCATATGCTGAAGATACGGACACATGTCAGGTATGTTATTATACTCGGATGCAAGTTATATTTATAAAATAGGCATATGTTCCAGCCAAATCAAGTGACAGTATATAAGTTCATAATAGTAGAAGGCGAGTAAGGTTTTTACACTTTTATTCTGAATATAAAAATACTAAATTTAGCGAATATCCACCCGTATATAAAATTCAACTGAATTAAAATTTACCTTCACGAAAGGTATATATTATATAATATTTACGTAACGAAAATTCGAAAATTAATATGATTAAGCTTTATGTATACATAGGGTGTGTATGTACTTATAAATAAAAAAATAAAGAGAGAGAGAGAGAGAGAGAGAGAGAGAGAGAGAGAGAGATTTTTTTACTTAAATCTATTAAAAAATTGTATATCGCTACTGTTAGTGCAAAAGGTCGTATGTAAAAATTGTCTCTGTTAATTCAATCTGTGCTTAAGGTAACATTTTGCAGTCTGCAACTACAATAAATAGTCTGCTGCTAAGGAAAATAGTATTGAGAAATAAAATATGAAATCATACTAATAAATAATAAAGAAATAATCAGTTCATCCTGCTCTTTCGTAAAAAAAAAACAACTCAATTTTTACATAAGAACTTTAGTACTAACAGGAGCGATATTCAAACATAATATAAAGAACTTGTCGCCAAAATTTTCGTTTTACACTAGTTTACAAAATGACTGTAAAAACTAATTTAGATATAACTGCAGTGAAAATGAGATTATTACACAGGTATACCTAGAAAAATAGTACAAAAGTGATGAAAGAAAGAACCAATATGGAAAATGAAATTAAAGACTCCCCCAAAAAGAATAATCGGAATTTTTAGAATTAAAAAATCCTCAGTTAGAAAAATTTCATATAATTGGATGGTAATGCTTTTTTTATGGCAATGGTAAAATATTTTAAAATAAAATAGTTTAATTTTATTTTATTTCGCAGGGTGATTCTGGAGGACCACTTCAAATCTATCACAGCGAACTTCCATGCATGTATACTCAAATTGGTATTATATCTTACGGTCCAAACTGCTCTTTGAGAACAAATCTTCCTGGTGTTTATACAAAAGTATCTCCCTACATAGGATGGATCGAAGATATTGTTTGGCCTGCATAAGGATTAGTTTAACAGAGCAACCAATATTTATAAAGAATTTATTTACTTATGCTGATTTGTGTATATAAGACTATTTATGGTTCCTGTAAGACATATGTGTTTAAAATTAGATTTTGTAGGCATTATTTGATATTTATTCTTCTTCCATAATATGTAATACTAAAAAACAGAAAGTAAATTGATATAGATTGGTCTCCTTCTTACTTATAAAAACTAAATCGATGTAATTGATATATAGAGAGAAACACTTTATTTTCATATAAATATAAATAACTTTTTTTACCATATGTAATTTTAACATCAATCACACCGATCATTCCTATTTTTCGCATAAGAAATGTTATCTTCTTTGGAGTTATGCGGAATATATTAATGCTATTAAGGCAAAAGGATGTTCGGCCTCCACTAGAGCAAAGCATGCGTTCCCTGTTATCCGGTACACCAATAAGAGGAAGATGCTTGCAGTAGATGTATAGACAAAATAATGTTCGAAAAAAAAAATGTTTGAAAATAATATTGTCCAGTATACCATTGTTATTAATTGGGTGAATCGATTTTTGCCTAATATATTCCCCTCCGATCTTCCTTTTATATTAGCAACACCATATGTTTCTCTTCTGTCCACGTAAATCTACATGGAACATTCCGGAGAAGATAACTCGCTCGCCCTTCTAACTTATCCTTGATTGTTTAAGAGAAGTGGAGCGAAATTTAGAAGTAGAAGACCGCGAGGTCCGGTTAGAAGAAAGAAAGAGAGCATTAGAAATTGAATAAGTGAAGGTAAGTGAACAGTTGGATAGGATTGTGGAAACAGATGGGGACGAGGAATTAAACGGAAATAAAGAAGGTGAGAGAAGAAACAAAGGAATGAGCGAGGAGTTGGAAGTACTGAAGGGTAAGATTGAAATTTCTCACGTTGGTGGAACAGAAATAAGAGCACGTATAGGTAGGAAAGCTGTCCAAATCATCATCTCAGTTCCAACCGATGTTGAACCGGACCTAGCTTTTGGAATGCCCACTTTACACATAAGATATGCTGTAGCGAAAGTAAAATCGACCAGGCTTTCCATGTAGTTTTTTTCAGAACACTTGGTTGCTACTGCATATGTCTTCAAAAGCTTCTATGATGACTTAAGAATGAGACTTATTATTAGTTTGAATACCATTATTTTTTGTGTGTTTTTTTTTTACATAAAAATGGTTCCCTTTGCAGTTAATACAAAGGGAAGGCGTTTGCAAGTTGACTTATCGGTGTCCCGGGCCTGAACACTATCGGTACAGTGTGCTAAATTTTACAGAGCTTTCTTGGCAATTATAGCAACAAAATAAAGGTTATGTGTAAAGGGTTGGATCTTTACATTTCGGCTTGCTTTCTCCCATCAATACTTCAAGACCTCCAGTTTACATGGACACTGTCACCGCCGATATCGTTCGTGCAATAGAACTCCCACTACCGTTAGTTCACACGTGGTAGTGATCTCAACTTACTAGTAGTGTTCTCGGTAGATAGTGTTCTCGGTCGGTTCACAAATCCGTTTGAACCAGCCTTAATGAAGGATATGTCACATGCATATTGAAGAATATTTAAGCATACAGGTAAATACCTTATCATATAGGTCATAAAAAATTGTAAAAATAATTGTAAAAAAATGAAAACGAATTTAAGACCAAAATATAATTCAATTCTGATAAAAGAAAAGGCAATACCCATGTCTAGCTGACTTGCTTTTCATGTAAGAAGAGTTAACAATTTTTTTTTTTTTTTTTTTTTTTATGCTGTTGAGTAACATTACATTCTGTCACAATAAAGAAGACTGGTTAATAATGAGTAAGAATTCATTCACATGATATTTACAGAAAACGTGAAGAATGTTAATTAAATAAAAGCAAACTAGCTAATAACTAAATAACAATATTAAAAAATTCAATAAATTGACTTTAAGATAAATAAAGCAAAATAACATCTAAAACATAGGCCAAATTGAATAAAATATTTACAATTAGCCAGGGGAACTTTAAAACAGTTCTGTGGATAGAAAAGTAGGACTACATGAGATCCCAGCACTCCTCAGTCGCACATATTTCTGTTCAAGTATATCTAAAGCCGGTGAAAATCCAGTGAGAGAGTTATAGCCACAGAAACTCATGTCATTGAAATCAATTTTTAATTTGAACTGAAAGTGGGAAATCGATAGTGTACGATTTTCAAATAAGTTCCCAACATTAATCCATACTTGGGCCAAATCGGAAAAGGCTTTAGTACAATTGTTGCTATCCTGGTCAAAAAAAAACTTTTTAATGAATAATTAAATCCATAAAATATATTTTATCTTTTAACATTTTACAAAGAAAATATATTGAGAATTTAGTTCTGTGCTGTCATTTCAAGTTTTATATATTTAACTTCTACTTTCTATTTTTGATTTACGTGTTTGTTTATTCACATAAAATGTTTTTGCCATAATCTAAACCATAATAATTCATTAATAGAAAAGTTTATGTGAAACAATACTATTCCAAAAACTTGATTGAAGAATGAAAGGAAAAAAAATAGCTATCACTTTTTTTTCTAAATGTCTTATTAAAATAAATTGATTTTGATTGAAAAGCTGCATTACTTGGAATTTTTGTAACCAGAAAGAATCAATTAGGTATTTTTAATTAATTAATTAATTAACTGGAATAATCCAGTTTTTTCATTTTGAATACATTTATTCCAATAATAAAATGTTTTTAAAAAAACTACTTGCATGTTGTTCCCATCACCCTTCTATTAAATTGGAAAAACTGAAATCTTAAATATCAGAGAATCGATAAATATTACCCGATAGTCGCTGAGGGCTATATCGACAAACATTTTTTTTTTCTTTGTTTCATAATCCTCTCAGCAAAATGAAAGGGATATTGCTGGACAATGTTGAACTGAGTTGATGAAAAAATTTCTCTATTTCGTTGAAGTTGTCATTTCGAAGAACGCTTTATTAAAGTGGAATATTTTGGTCTTTTAACTCATTAAAAAGTCTTCAATTTTTTTCAACAGCAGACTTTGACAGAATTTTTCATTTATCCGCCCCTAGTCCTGTTATTAACTGAGTATTTCGGCAAGGATAACTAGGTTATATTTTTGAATTAATAATACCATCATGTACATATTGTCGTGAATAAAATGTATTTAATTTGTCAGGTAATAATGAATAAACATCATAAGAAAATTAGTTATAATATAATCATCTAGGTACATTTTATTGTAAACAGATTTTATGAACTTTAAATTTAAAAATGAATCATACAACCTAATATTTTTTTTTAAAGGATTGTAATGAATTTGTTTACATTTAATATTTATGTCTTCATCACCTTGTAGCTAGTTAGTATTTGTAGTATATGAGGTAAAGGTAAATACGAAATGAAAGTTTATTCAGAGATTTGTGATTTAATTGTTTTTTTCACTATATGTCTTATGGTAAATGAACTCTTTCCTCACTTTAACCATCATCCAATTTGTAAAAGAATGTTAATCGATTAAAAACAAAAAGATTTTTTTTTAGCAATAGCATCATCAATTTTATTTACTAATGCTCTTAACACTAATTAGTATTTCATCGATTCTATCAATCAGTCAGAAATTGATAGTACGTACTATATTTATTTATTTTAATTGTGCTGCAACGCATCTAGCAAACTTGATGTATTAGCCATTACTTGCCGATTTGCTTGGTTATTATAGTTTTTCTTATTATTAATGCAGGAGTAGGTTGAATGGCCATTTTCTTTTCAATCTGCGTCGATTAGGTAACATGGAGCAGGAAATAGAAAGGACTAATGGATTGATGTGATTTAGAGATGAGGAATAGAATGAACTATATTTGCCGTGGATGTAGGATTTTACTGTTGAGATATTTAAGTCGTCGTACACAATACATGGTGTTATTTGAAATGTACCAAAGAGTGTTGACAATTTTTTGAAGAATTTTTTATTGTGTTGTTTGGATTTTGCTTATGTTTGTTTGTTTTGCTCCGTATGTCCAAATTGGTCTCAGTATGGTGTTGCAGATCAGATTGTTGCGTACGTTGTATGAGGATCTGTAGTCCAGAAGATGTGAGACTTAATTACATCGTCTAGTCAGTTCATATTTAATTTTGTAATTTGGTAGTTGCTCTGTAAATGTAAAATAATAAAAACAAAAGATATATTATTTGATAGACTTGACCATTCATCATTAATCATTATCATCTTACGTCTTGCCAACAGATCAAATTAAATACAAAAACACTATTAAGTTATAGTGTTATTTATTTAAGTTATAGGTATAGTGGGTTATTATTCTTTGTACGTTTCGGGGTACTCTGCTGCCATTAATCCATTTACTTAATTTAATTTATCATTTACATTATCGTAATTTAGTCGGAATAGTTCTATAATATGATCACGACAGTTGCTAATTTCTGGTTCAAACTATCTTAAATCTATATTATATGAAAGATATACATTTATTTACAGTAGGATAATTACTGAATATTCTTAAAATGAAAAAAAGAGCAAGACTGAGAAAGGCACGACCAACTTTCTAAAATAAAACACTTAGTTATTAAGAATTATACATTCACACATATATATTTACACACACACACACACACACAGATATATATATATATATATATATATATATATATATATATATATATATATATATATATATATATATAGAGTATATAACAGTATATTTTGGATGTACGGTGTTTGATTTACAGTATTGCGCCTGTGCTGTAATTAAATACTAAGCCAAAAATACTGAGTAGTTGTGCGGAACAGTATCTCACAGCGCCTTTAACAGAATGAATATATTGAAATTTAATATTATATATTCCAGATTTTATATATGGACTATTTTATTTTGATTATTGTATTCGGATCGAAATTTAGATTTGCAATTTTCAACAAAACTTAATGTTTTAAAGTCTTATTTTCACAGCTTCATTTGAATAATTGTTAATCGTCTAAACCGGATCAGTATTAAAAAAGATCGAGCTGTATACCGAGTAGAAGCATAGAAAACCATTTCATAGAAAACAAGCTCGGCTATGTTTGGGCTCGTTACATGATTTTTTTTGAAAATCACAAAAAATGTTTAAACTTCAAAACGATTTTAGCTATCTACAAGAAATTTATCGGGAATTCAGGACCACATTGACTACACAAAATGACATCAACAGGGCTTTCGTTGTCCAAACTACAAATAGAGATAAAAAAATAAAAACCTATATGGTTTTTGTTTGTTAATTCCTT